CCCCAACACTGAGCTTGCAGTTCACCCCTGGACTGAGCGAAGGCCCTGATGTACTGTCCCTCCCTCTGCCATGCTTACCTGTGAAGAGGAGAACCAGCTCGGGTGGCCAGAGACTGAGAGCAACCTTCTTTCCTCTCCTCCTCACTGGATTTGTATGGCGTCCTCAAGGGGGGGCCCCTGGTGCCTCTGTCTGCCAGCCATTTATCTACCTTCCCTTTCTCCTTCCTTCTCTTTACCCTCCCACAAGGCCCAGGGAACTGGGGTGAAGTGGGGCCCCCGTCCTTGTCAGGAAGGAACCAGGCTTTGAGCTTAGACAACATTGCCAACAGCTACGTTGGAGTGGGGCATGAGAAGTGAACGGACATTTTTCAGCCACTGCCCTGAGAGACACCTGGCATTGCAGGGAAGCAAGGGCACGTGGGAGTTAGGCCTATTGGGAGTGGCTGCGATTTTCCTGTTTAAGGGGCTAATCAGTGGCAGGGGTGTGGGTGAGATGGCAGGAGCGGCAGCAGCTGTGGGGGGCTGAGGGCGCTCCATTCTGAAAATGACCCTGGGCCTTGAGAAAGCCTCACTCATCACTGGCTTCATCCCATAGCACTCTGACCCCCCTAACCATGGCCTGAGTGGGAGGAGGGAGGCCTTAGGGGCCAGTAGGTGGGGATGGGGCTGGGGAAGCCACATTCCTGGAGTGTTAATGATCTCCGGGCTGGGCAGGAGCTGAGCCCCCAAACCAGCTAAAAACAACAAACAGCTCCTAGGAGGGATTTGTGTCTGTCCTGAGAGTCAAGGATTTCCGCTGCTCTGCGGCCCCCCCCCCCAATGGGGGCTGTGGCCAGTGGGGCTCTTCCACAAAGAAATTCCCCAGAGACCAGAAGCTCGGTGACCTAGAAGTATGGCTTTGAGAACAGGCCCCACCCCCACCCCTTTCTCTCCTCCCACTCACCTAGGGAGGCTCAGTGCCCAGGTGAGGGGAGGCAGCCGCCCTCCTGACACTTGGGAGGCATAAGAGAAGTGTCTGGGTGCCTTCCTCACCTGGTCTCTCCAGTCCTTACACCAGCCCAGCAAGTGATGCTGTTCTTGACATTTTATGGCTAAGGACACCATGGCTCTGCTAGAGAACATGTTCTGTAAACGTGTGATGGAATTGGGGAAAGAAAGATGGAATTGAGGAAAAAAAGAAAGAGACTGGCTGGAAGTCAGAGAGTCCAGCTGCGGCCAAGCTGGGGCTGGAACCTGGGTCATCCTGACCCCGACCATGGACCTCACCTCTACTACATGGTCCCCCTGGCATGGGAGGCCATCAGCGGCTCCCTGCAGAGGTAGAAGGTGTTTGGAGGTCCCGGAGAAGAGTTCAGGTCTCAGTCCCCTAGGAATTCTGGGGGCTGCTTAAAGGAGGAGCAGCCAGCGCTGTCAGGAGGCAGCTGGGGCCTGGCCCTGAGCGACTGTGGAGCGGCTAGGAAGGGGCAGAGTTCCCGAGGCCGGTGCCATGCCCGCTGCAGATATTGCAACCTTGCCACTTGGCTCAAACCCTGCCTCCCTATGAAGCCTCTCTGGGCCCCCAGGCGACCGGGAACTACCCTCCCCATTGTACTCCCTCTCCCTGTCCCCTGGAGATCAACAGTAGGAGAAGCTACCCAAATCTCTGTCCGCTCAAGTTCCTCGCAGTGGGGCCCTTAGTGTATGCTCAGCATCTGCTCTGTAAAAAGGGGTCCTTCTGCAGAGCTCAGCCCACCCGCTCTGTCCCGCCTGCTGCCCTCACATGCTCTTCCATCCTTTCCTCTTCCTTTGCCTAAAGGCCTCCCAGTGGGCCTGACCGCTCCCAGGGCTTGGGTCTGCCCCTCCCTCAGGGGCCTTCCCACAAAACCCTCAGGCAGCACTGGCTTGTCCTCACTGTGCTTCAGTAACCCCCTCACTCCCACCCACAAGCCACAAAGCCAAGCCCTGAGGCTTTAAATCCATCATTTATTGCCCACAGTTCATTAGTATTACATAAATCAGAGACTGAGAAATTTTCTGAGAAGGTTAAAAGACACTGCAGAGTCTCCTCGGTGTGGCTAAGGCACGAGTGCCAGTGCCTCACTCACACCCGGCCCGGGGGCTGGAGAACCACTTTGCCTCTGGCCTCTGGCTTTTCTTCCCTCAGGACCCCACCCTGTTCCCGGGCCAGCAGGGGCTCAGGACCGAAACCAAGCGGGCTCAAAGTCAGAAAGTAGAAAAGGGGGCTGTCGGCCACCTGGCCCCAGCTGCCATCCAGACATCTTGGGCTCCTGGTACCCGCACCATCGGATTATTCTCTGGAAATGGGAGAAGGGCGTCCCGAAGTCTGAGGGAATGTCAGAATTGACCAAGAGAAGGTGGGCCAGTACACTGGGCCTAGAGAACTGGGCTAGCAGGGGTGCCCTGTATTCTGACACAGCAGGGCCGGCTACCCCCTAGCTGTGGGACCTGGCCCAGTCTCCTCCCCAGTCATGAGCCAGTCTGCCCACGATGCCTCCCTTCCTCTGACCTCTGCCAAGTGGGGGATGGATGTTGGGCAAAAGTTCTCCCTCGTGGTGTTTTCCACAGTTAAGCCAAGGCTCATCTTAGCAGCACGGCCCACTGGACCTCCGCCATCACACTGAGCTGTACAGATCCTTTGCCAATCCCCTCCCCAAAGAGAAGTCCCCTTAGCTCACCTGAAATTGCATTTGGGAGCATGGCCAGAAATGATCAAGGAGACAAAGTAAGTCGGTTATGAGATGCCAAGGCCACAGGGTCAGGACTGGGATGGGGCCGGGCCAGGGCAGCCAGCACCGGGGGGAGTCAGAGAGACCCTCATTTCTTCCAGACCTCCAGAGGGGGTGGGAGTGGGGCTGGGGTGAGCATTTTTGGTCCCAAGGTGAAGTGCACAAGAACAGGACACTGAGAGGTGAGGCAGAGTGAGCTAGAAGAGAGCTTTTCAAAAGGGGACCCAGACATGCCCAGTCTGTCACTGGCCCAGTCATATCATGGCAGGATTAGCTCAAAAATACTTGTCCCTCTGACATGGTGGCAACCTTTCCCTCTACTGTTTTGTTCTCCCTACTGGTTCTGCTTTTACCCTTTCCTGATTGGCTGGGGGTGTGGGGAGGGGATGCTGCTCGTCAAGACAGTGGTGGGGGGGGTCCTTCAGGGCAGCATCCTGCAGAAAGAGCATGCTGGCTAGGAGTGAGGGCAGCAAGGGCTTCTGAGGGGACACCTGGTGTCACCCCTGCACTGAGGATGGTAAGAGCAGCCCATCCACAAGCCCCACACTAGATTTTCCTGCCGGTGTTCACTGCCAGCCACGTCTTTCCCCAGGTGGAGTCACCCGGGGCTGCCATGTTGAGGGCTCCGTTCCAGTTGGGGTCAGGTGAGGGGTCTGATGAGGCCCACACTTCCTCTTTGTTTGCCCCATCCACCCCCACCTCATCCCTGCTTCCTTCTGCAGAGCCCCAGCAGACCCCTCCTCTTCTTGGCCCACCAGTGGGAGGAGACAGCAGCAAGGGGGCCAGTGCAGGGGGAGAGGCGGCACATGGGTTTGGAGCCACACGTAGGCGCAGCCACCCACGCTAGCTCCCCATTCAGAACCGAAAAGTGTTTGGCAGAGGTCAAGTGTGCCCGGGATGTGGGCTCACATACAGAAAGTGAAGGTCCAGGTTCTGAGGCCAACTGCTGGCCATTCCCAAAGGGGCCTTCCCCTTTCCCAGTCCAGTGTCCACATTGGGGATGTGCCTGGGATGACCAGCATCTGAGCGGAACAGGCAAAGATGAAGTCCAGCTGGAAGAGCCAGTGGGAACCCCTTGATCCAGTCCTCTGGTTCTGGCCAGGGAGTAGAGGCTGAGAGAGAGGAGCAGACTTCTCCAAGGTCACGCAGCCCATTCGTGTCACAACCACGGGCATGTGATCACTGGCTTGAGGCTGACTCTCAGGTGCCTAGAAACCTGGCCTCCATCCTCAGGCAGAAGACCCTCCCATTCAGGAAGCGGGGGAAGGGGTAGGCAGCCTGGGGGTGGGGGCTGGAGAGACCTCCCCACCCCCCAGATGGCAGTCAGCCAGGCTCCAGCGCCAGCCTCCCACCCCCGCTCAGTCCAGCTTCCAGCTTGGTGACTACAAGGAGGATCTTTCCACAGAGGTCGAAGGGCAGGCCCACAGTTCCAGCCAAACATCCTTCCTTCTTGGGGCTTCTTGCCTGGAGCTGGGGTCATTTCAGAGGCCTCAAATGGATCAGCAGGGTTCTATGAAGAGTGGCCCAGCCCCTGGCACTGGGCTTCATGCAGAGGGATTGGTTCTGCAGGTTGTGGCGTGGATGAGGGCCACCCACACTCACAGCCAACTGCCCACAAAATCTTTCAGAGGCCTCCAGTGCCCCTGACTCCCTGGGCCACCTCCTGAGGACCTCGGTCATACTGGTTCATCCTGTGAGGTGCAGACTGCCTCCGCTCCCCAGCCCAGCCCAGCCCAGCCCAGCCCAGGGAGCCTTGGGCACGGCCACCAGAGTATCTTGGCTCTATCTAGCAGCCCCACTACCAAACCAACAAGCCCCCAGGCCTACTCCTATGCCACCACTGGCCAGCTGCTGCATCCGGGCAGTGGCCACCAAGGTTCAGACTTGATTCTGATAAAAAAGAAAAAGAAAAAAGAAAACCAAAGTATAAAAGGATCCTAAATCCACCCCGTGGACACTCTACAAATTTTCAGCTTCACACGTAATTGTGCTGAGTAGAGTTTTGACAACCCCACGTAAGGCCCAGAAATGCACTTGATTATTTTTTTTTATAGGAAATGTGTCAGAATTCCTCTCCAATGTGTTAACATGTAAATAGATTAGTCTCCCTACCTCTGCGGGGATCCAGTGCTCCCCCAGGTGGCTCAGGACTGGTGGGGTGAGCTTGCCCCCTTCCCTGCAGGTGCAGTCCCAGAGTCTCCGACCCCACCCCCGATCTCCCCCCAACCCCCCCGGCCTGGATGGCATTCCGGCCCCAGGCCGGCTGGCCACCACTCACAGCCCCTTGTTGTACACCACTGTCCGACTACTCGTGGCCCGGGCAATCTCAGGCTCTAACTGGGATGTCTCGATCTGAGGAGAGAGGGAGAACAGAGAAGAAAGGTGAGGGAGGCAGGCAGGAGGGAAGGGGTGAGCTTGGAAGCTGGGAGTAGCATTAGGAGCAAGCTGGTGCCCATAGTTCTCCCCCTATGCCACCTACTGACACATCCTCTTTACCACCCTCCTGCCGAGGGGCTCACGGTATCCCTTCCCGTCTAGGTCTTTTCTCTTCCTCTGGTGGCCTGTCTGTGTGTGTGAGCGTCCCATAGTATGATCTCCAAGTTGCGTCTTCCTCATCTCCAAGGGCCTGTACTGCACCACAGTCTGGGCCTGGACCCCCACAGTGACCAGCAAACCTCTCCCTGCCAACCCCCTCACCCAGTCAGCTCTTTCTCCCATTCTCCATAGAGAAATGCCTGAAACCATCCCCACCCTCCTCAGCTCCCCACTCATTCTGAGCACCACAGCCTTCTTTCTACTTCAGAGAAAAAGCAAAAGACAACGGAAGGAACCCCTCAGCATTCCACCACCAAACCCATGAACTACCCATCCACACTGTCCTATGCCTGCCCTCCTGCCACCCCTCCCCTCAGAAGGCAGAACCTCCTGGGGTCCACCTTCCCCATCCCCACTCTGGAAGCCCACTCCCAGACTGTCCTCCCCGTCTCCCACCTTCACAGACCACTGACTCCTGACCACCAGCATTTCAACACTGACAAAACCTCCCATCTGATAAAACATCCCGTTAACCCCGTGTCACGCTCCATCTACTGCCTGATCTCTCTCCTCCCCAGCAACCACATTTCTTTAAGGCACTGTCTCCACTGGCCTTTTCCACCTCCTCATCTCCCACTGACTTCTCAACGCACAGCAAATCTGGCTTCTCTTCCCACCATACTCCACAAAAATCCTTCTCTCCAAGTTCACTGCCGCCCCCATGCTTTGTGACATCCACTGGACCCTTGTCAGGGTCGCTGGTGCTCAGCCTGGTGGGCCCTCTTCCCTGCACAATCCCTGGGGGTGAGTCAACCGTCCTGGTGACTCCCAGATTGGAGGGGTCTCCCACCATTATTTCTGCCCTGAATCCTGGGCCTATGGGGACTGCCTATCAGACCTCACGGATATCTCACAGGCACTTGAACTCAACCCTAAAATCTAAATCACAACTGAGGTTGCCATCTCCCCCTGCCCCACCCCGGCTCCCCATACCACCACCTAATGGTGCCCTGGGACTGCCTCGCCTCGTCTATGAGCCCTTTCTCTTGAGTCCCTGCCACCCAGTCCACCCACCTGGGACAGCCTGAGCCTTCTCAACTGCGTTTGGGCCACCCGTCTGTTCCTTACAAAATGGCTGCCCTCAGGCACCCAGTCTAGACTCCTGTGCTGTCCAGTCCCTGCCCAATTCTACCCTGCCCCTGGGACCGGAAACACCACACACACCTACTTATTTCAGGGTCTCGGGTCCACTGGGCTTTCCCCAGCCTGACTCTTTGCCTGAGCTGGTTCCTCTGTCCCCACTTCTCTTCCTCCCCCTCCCCACGTTTCCCCCCCAACAGGCAGCTTTAGATATCTTCCCTCCCCCAGCCTGGGTATGGCCACTTCCCCAGCCCCCGGCAGCTCCTGGAGTTTCTCATATCCCCGTTGTATCACTTGCTGCTGAGGCTGACTGTCCACTCGTCTCCCCCGCCCCCTTCACTCTAGATCGCAAGCTCCATGAGGCAGCAAACATGAGGTGTGATCATGTTCATCCCAGCATCCTCAAGGCCTAGTGCCAATACACAGGAGGTATTCAGTAAGTGTTGAATGAATGAATGGGAAGAAGGGAGGCAGAAGGCCCTGGGAGGAGAAGGTTCCCCTGGAGGCTCTACGGCAGCCCAGGGGTTGGTCTGCAGCTCCAGGGACTAAGCCAGTAGGGATGCCTGAGGCTCCAGCCTGAGGGAGCCAGAAAGAGAGGTGCTACCTCAGTGAGGGGGGCCCCCCGGGGCCTGATCTCCTGCCTGGGCAGAGTCAAGGAAGCGCAGAGTCAACTAAGCCTTCGTGGCTTAGTTCAGCCGAACCTGCTCCCAGGTATCTGCTCTATGTTGAGGCCGACAGCCCTGAAGAGTAGGAAGAAGGTTCCATAGACCAGCCCTGCCTTCAAAGAACACAGTCATGCCCGGGGCCGGGCCCTTCAGAGGCCAGGCAAGAGGGAGCTCAGGGCGGACCGGAGCTGCTGGGCATGGTGGAGTTCCTGGAGAAGGGGGACCTTTCCCCTGTCGTCCATGGTACCCCGATACCCAGACTCTGGCCATTGGAGAAGGCCAAAGAGACAAGAGCGAGGCTGGAGGCCCAGGCCTCTTCCCCACCTCCTTTCCTCAAGCCACCTCTTCCCTCCCTACCCCTGCCGGCCTCCGAGTCCCCTCCACCCCACCAGTTCCCCTCGTCCCCATGCTGCCACTGACACAATGCACAGCGCCCACGCTTAAAAATCTAAATGCTTTTGAAAATGTTTAACCTAGTTAGACAAATTAGCAAAAATTTGTGCAAAACAATTTAGGTATTTAAAATATTCAATGTTTTTAAAAAACTGGAAAACTGTTCTTAGCTTTCAGCTGCAAAAACCAACAAAATATAACATCCCAGCAATCTTACCATGAGGTGTAACATAACCCTTCGGGAAAGCTGTTAAACAGCTACTGAGGCATCCTGGGAAATAGCACTTCATTTATTCAAATGCACATATGTCAGGCTTTTGCACCATATGTCATTCCAAGCTATTTACAGTAATAATTAAATCTTAATCAACGTTTAACCTCTGTAAAATGTTTGAAGAATCCTAATCACCCTTCAGACTGCACTAATGAAGGAGAAATATATAAACATAAAAGGAAAATGATGCACAGATATCACACTGGAAAGAACAGTAATTGCAAAATTGTATTTCTTTTAAATATAATCAGTAAATGATGTAAAGTAAGCCAAGGAGTATTTTAAGTTAAGACATCTTGGATGTCAGAGGTGTGAGCAGCTAATTTTGTTCTGCTACCCATAACAGATGTAGCATATTTTATTTTAGTGCCATTATTAGCAACTTCCCATGCCGGCTTTCACCGAAGCACTGAGGCCCGCATTAAAATCGGAGAGGCTGCTCACCACCGAGGTGGAGGACCACGGGCCGGGGCCACGGCCCACTTGACCCACTCGACCGATTCCCTGGAGAGCGCTGGCCCGGGTGCAGACTGGGGCCTCATCCCCTCAGGGGGATGCTGCCGTCACAGACCCCGGGGACCCCCGCCCCAGGCTCCCTACCGTGCCCGGGGCAGCTGGTAGGAGGGATGCAGGCGGGAGGTTCGGGCAGAGGAAAGGCCCTGGGGAGGGGAAGGTGGCTGAGGTACTCAGGAGCAGAGGCTTGGGGACAGAGTGCCATTCAAGGCTTTTTTTCTCATTTCAATGTAATCAGCCCTCACATCAGATGTCTCTGGCGGCCAACGCCATCCTCCAGGGCTGGGCACACAGAGATGGACGAGGCATCTCCTCCACGCCCTTGAGGAGCTCAAAGTCTAGGGGAGGAGTCACATAGGAAAGCACATGGATCCCAGAGAGACGAGGTACCATGGAAACTGGGGAGGGGGTGGGGGTTACCATGTATTGATGAAGGAACAAGGAAGAAAGACTTCTCAGAGGAGGTAGGCCAGGAAGAAAATGGAGGATTTTGATACGAGAGGGTAGGAAATGCTTGGTGGATGAAGGGATGAGCATCGGCCGGCCAGCATGGCCTGTTTGGTACGGGTGACATTGCACGTATAGGGAATGTGGCAGGAAATGGAGGTGGTGTCAGGACAGGCCCTTGTAGGCCTCATGAGTGTGTCAGTGGGGGGCCATGGGGAGCTAAGGGAGGATTCTGAGCAAGGGCGGGCTGTGATCCAGACTCTGTTTTAGAAATGCTGGTGGCCGTAGATGTGGAGGATGGACGGGAGGGTAAGCCAGGGGGCAGCTGTGGGAATGAGAGGCGCCAGGTCCTGCCCTGTGATGCTGCCAGAGGGGCTGTGAGGCGGGTGGCACTGGGATCGTCTCTGAAGAGAAATCCATAGGAGTTGATGACCAATCCCATGTGGGGGTGAGAGGGAGGTGTCGAGGATGACTGTGCGTTGGATGACTCCTAATTCTAGCTCAGGAGCTGGGGTGGCTGGTGACGCCGTTCTGAGGCAGGGAATACGGGAGGGGGACGGGTCAGGGGGGGAGGGGGACAGGCTCAGGCTGGACCATGTTGAGACCCCCGGGTGCAGAGGCCTAGGAGGCAGACGGGGTATGGGTTCTGGAGCTCTGGGCAGGGGTCTGAGTGGAAGAGCGAGCAGGGATGTGTAAGCACAGCCGGAGCCCCCGGAGTGGGGGAGCTTGCCCAGGAGAGCAGATGGAAGGGGAGGGCGCCAGGCCTGGAGAACAAGTACATTTGAGGGGCGGGTGAAGGGAACAAGCCCATGATGGTGGTCTTGAGGGACCAGCCCAGGAAGCAGAAACAGTGACAGAGGGTGCCACACGGCACCAGGCAACATGGGTACCAGGCAAACAGTTTCCTGAGTGGTCCCAGTGAAGGCTGAAAGACTTCGGCCTTCGTGACGGGATATAGTGACCTCTGGAGTCCAGATTTCCTGCCCCCAGCTCAGTGCTGGCCCCAGGCCCAGACTCTTGCCCCCATTCTGGGCCAACTCGAGTGGCTGTTCGTTTAGACTCCTCTAGCCTTGGCTGGGGCTTGGGCAATGGCAGCTTTCACGGGTGTCAGGACCACTGGGGGAGGACCCTGGGCCACTTGAAGGTCACCTTTCTGAGGTGTGGGGGTGCTGGGTCTCCCCAACAGAAATCACACCCAGGGCTCCGCTGACAAACGGATGTGGTTCAGCTCCTGGGTGAGGGCACCAGAGCTCCCTGCTGCTGCCTCAACCAGGGACAGAGACCAACGGCTGTGCTGTGGTCTTGGGGAGTCCCTCCTGCTGGGGGGCTAATGGACAAGCAGCAGAGGCTGGCTTTATGTACCATATAGGCAACAGAATCAATAG